GAAACGTCAGCTTTCCTGCTCCTCTGATGCTGCTTGGCCTGCTGTGTTCATCCAGCTCTGCACCTTGTTATCTCTAAAACATAACTGAAGAGTCCTTTTGTCTTCATAATATAAACCAAAACTATGTTAATTGGAGAGTTCACTCTATTTTACAACAAAAGAGTTGCTGTAATACTGTTAATTCTAATAGGGTCACAGTTCTAATATTGATGTATACATTTAACTGTGATCTTTGTGTTGGCCTCCTCAGCAAACCTGACTTTTTAAAATATCTTCAATGTGTCCTGAATTTGCACATCCAGTGGGGGGCTAATGTCAGTGGCCAATAAGTACTGCCTTTTCTGCTCCATTTCTTCTGCTCCGTGTCCCCACCCCACACTCATGTGCGCGCACGTGCACACGCACCTTTTCTTTCCTCCCTCCCTCCCTCCCTCCACTGCCCAGGCCCTAACTTGCAATATAATAGCACACATTTCCACCCGTCCTATGTATAGGAGTTGTATAACTCAACTTGATCTTGCCTATTCCAGTAAAGAGGAATAGCTATGCCTTCTTCCAAGGGCTGTTACATTTAAATGGTTTCCATTGTTCATATTTCTGAACAAGGATTTGTTTGTCATTACCGTTAGAACTCCCAGAGCATCTGTTTTCAACTATTACATTAAATATGTAGACTGGGAACAGCAGGCACTGCAGTGTGTGTGTCTGCAGATAATCTAGAAATCACTGGTGATGCTACTTCTGGTCATGGCTACTGGATTTGATACCTGTACTGCACTCTGGTCTAGAGCTTTCCTGCCCACCTCCCTACATGGAAGGATTGGGCTTTCGGTAATACAAGTTCTGACGGGATGACTGTTCAAAAAATATCAGTTGAACCTGGGCCAGGTACAGCTCAAATTTAACAATTCAAGTCGAATGATTCTCTAACAGCCCATTTTTCCTGAAGCTCAAATAATCTTATTACCTTGTAAAGATTTATTTGAGAGTTTTAGCTTCTTCAAGCAGTAATATTTAAAATGTTGAGAAAGGTCCAAATATCCTGAGTGGTGTTGCACAGGTGCATGCTGTGAATATAGATGTCAACTTAAATTTCTGCTGCACTTTCAACTTGTGTCTTTTTTAAAATTGGAAGTTGTTGCCCAGTTTCTAATCATTTGAAATATTCAATATTTTGTATGAATAAAGGCATGTATTTGCTTAAAGAGTCAACAATATAAACACGTGTTCAGTCTCACAAACTGAATTAAGCTAATCTGTTATGAGGTTCTCGTTGAATATGCAATTAGCAACTATTGAAACAAAATTTATTTTATACTGGTGTTTTATCTTTGCTATTTATTGACCCACAGTACAGCACTAACTTAAGGGTGCTTGTAGCACAGTGGTAGTGTCCCTACCTTTGAGCTGGAAGGCCCACGTTCAAGTTCGACCTGCTCTGGAGGTACACTGTACACTGGTGAAAATAGACTCTTGCACTGACCTAAATTTATTCGGAACTAGCTTGCCCATGTACACCCTGGTGAACCCAGCAATTGATCCTCCTTTTGCATTCGCAAATTGAAATTAAAAATCTGAATAGTAACACTCTTCACTGTATCTCAATGCATGTGACAATAATGAATCAAATTGATTGTTAAAGTGGAAATCATTTTATGTCAAGTACTTTTGAACCAAAAATCTGTATTCTGTCTTTGAAAATAGTTTGAATATATTACAAACAATATTTTAATGTTATAGCACAAGTAATAAGAACAGTAGTAGATTGTTCAGCCCCTCAACTCTGCTCCGTCAATCAATAGGATCGTGACTGATCCGACACCCTTCACATCCACTTTCCTGCCCTGTTCCCATTTAATCTGGATTCCTTCACTGTATAACACTCTTTGTCTGTAAGGTCTTTGGCCAAATGTCTTTAGTTGCACTATTGAGGTTGACTTGGTTGAGGGAGAACAGGTTCAACGGACGAAATAGCATATTCCTGATCCTATATTTGCTTGACTAGGAGTAGCATGAGAAATAATTTCTTACTTAAAGTTGCATGTGTTGTGTTGCAACTTTAATTACAGCAGTCAAATCTATTTGTCACTATATGTGCTTTTGGTAGCCTAAGTTAGTGTAATTTGAGGAACGGAGCCTCATTTTAAGAACTCATTTTAACTTCACATTTTCACTTTTATTAGATCGATATGGACTTGGACAAGCTGGTCGATTGCCTCCTACAGTAAATGCCATGAGGGTTCTCAACACAAGCACAGAGGTGGAGGCTGCTGTTGCAGATGCCTTGGTAATGAATAATTGAAGTTATCTGCAAAACTGAAAAATAGTTCAGCCTTAAAATACTTTTTTTAAGTGCAATTGTTTACATTTTTTTAAAAACAAAGTGGACCTTAGCTGTTTCCCATTCCGATACTTTTACATTAGATTATGATGCATAGTTTTAAGTTCCAGAGTTGTGGAATTTTGAGACTGAGCTGTATTGATGTTCCGTCTTCATGACCTCACCCCCCCCCCCCACAAAAAAATGTTACCACCACAATTAATGTTTTCTAAGGTTGTTAACTTATTTGCAGTACTATAAATTCGCATAAAAGAACCACATCTAGTAGGGTGCTCACATTTACCTACATTCGTGTGAGTTTAATGAATGCAGGTGGGCAGTTGAACCATGGAACACATTATCACCGCATAAATGTACATAATTTATGCATCCTTTCTTCTGAAAATTACAATTCCATCATTATTTGCTCATTCTTATAGTTTGTTTTGCAACTCTGGTGTTAGATGTCTTTCAAACAGTGATACTGCTTCCTTTCCTTGAGTCAGTTGTTGATTTTCTGTGGATTTGCCTTGCTGTAAGAGCAGTTAGATTCTTGTTCTCTTCTGGGCTGTATTTTCTTTCTGTCTTTGCTTCCTGATACGCTTCATTGATCCCATCTAGCTGTCTTGCTATCTTTTCTACTTATCTCATGAATCACCCTTGCTCTGTCTCCACATCCTAGAACCTAAGGGGAGTTTCAGAACATCAATGATGTTGGCAGGTCCTGCCCCTCCATTTAAACAAAATTTAAATTTTCTTTTTGCCTTGCATTAACTTCTTCTTTGAATGGTGCCCGGCAGAGATACAGTCAGCTCATTGCTGTGGAATGAGTTTTGATTTTCCAGGTCTCATTTTGAGTACATTCTTGAAGTACGGTTACTATGTTAGAATAATTACTTTTGTTTCTTGGCTGTCAGTGACCTGTACAAAGGCATGATTAAGTCTTGGTCACCTTCTGCCATATTCATGTCATTTGTATTACAGTAGCAGGATTTTGTTATATTCCTTACTCCCAATTGTTTAAACTTTTCTGAAAGTAAACATCTCAAAATCATCTTTCAAGTGCCTTATCAGTTCTGTGTTTAACTTGCTTTAATAAATTCATCATTCTATTGTGAAAATATTCAATTATTCTTCTTTTGACATGATTCTTTGTACTTTCTCCCCATAAAATTGTTTAACAGCTATTAGGAGACTCCAGGACTAAGGTAGTGCTGCTTTTTGATCCTGTTTTCTTCCAATCATTCTGTTGTTACTTTGCTATTTTACTCTTTTTTTTTCAGACTCTTAGAATACATACATACAAATGACAGATCAAAGGTACATTTCATTATAAAGTTGTGGATGTCTTCGACTGCACTACTATGTTGCTTGTCATGTTACAGAACTTTGAAACCTCAATCAATGGGGTATTTGAATCTTATTTTGACGCATCGTAACAGTTAATTAAGTCATGAGCTAATTAGACACTTAATGATGTGAGCAAACAAGCTGAAAATGAGTGATTGCAAAACGGAAATTGGATCATCAACGCACACTATTTCTTCACCTCTTAGGTTTGTGCTTAAATTCAACCCAGTTTGGGTTGAGAGAAATTTCTTTTGTTGTCTCTTTGAATCCAATTGGAATTTAGGTTGTATGATATTGGCCCAGTTTACCTGTTCCCTTCATTGATCCTCTCCACTGTTTATTTCCAGAATTTTGCTTTTTCATAAGTGCAGATGCTGGAAATCTGAATTTATTTTCCTTTTTGTTGGTCCTCTGTGCACCTGGATCCAAAGCAGACAATGGTCTCTGAATTGATAATCTGTTTATTCTTCAGCATAAATATTCATAGCCTTAATGTAAATCCAAGAAATATTAATGCAAGAAGAGACATTCCACACTTTATTTTCCATATCTAAAGATCTGTTGTTTTATGTATTACCGCATGCTTTTTTAAAAATGTATGAAGTATGGCATTAACTAAATTCAATAATTCTAATTCAGTAGGCAAAAGAATGGAGTTAATTTTAATCTAACTTGCCTGGTGGGAAAGTGACGTGTTGGAACTGGGGTCTGGTTTTATGGGACAATAAAATTAGGCTGGGTGTAGGATAGTCTGTGGTTTCATTTCCGCTGGGTGCATTAAATTAAAATGGCTCCAAAAAGGTTTTGGCAATATAATGTTCATTTTTGTAAAATTCTTGTCTGAAAACAAAATGTGAAGCTATGCATTCATACAGTCAACTGAAGATTTGCTTTACACAATAGTATAAAGAATGCTAGAAGTAATGATGAGGTTTTGACTTCCACACATGATGAACATCACAGAACTACAGCTGCTGAAAGGTTGTATTCTGGGCTAAATGTGCTCCTGGATGCTGATGTTTTAATTATTTTGAAAGTGTTTTCAGAGTTTATTTTTTTTTAAACTAAGGTGTTGGTTTTGTTTGCACAGTACTCTTTATTTCACATTTGACTGATGTTATGACTTTTGCTAGATCTGAGGGGGAGAGTGCACGTGATTGTTTTTGAGATGGGAAATGCCTTTTTCTAAATTGAGGGAGTAAACAGAACTTCTGTGGAATCATCTGACTGGGTCAGAAAGTGTTTCACAGTTGCAGGCGTGCTCGTAGAGAAATTTACCACTTGGGTGTTTCTACCTAATCAAAAGATGTGGTGTGCAAGAATGTCAAGAAAGCCTTTGACAAAGTATCAAATAGGAGATTGGTAGAGAATATCAGGAATATGGTCCAGATAATGACATCATAGGTAAGAGACTGCATAGGTGGATTGCAGTAAATAGTAATGAAGTCATTACTGGAGATTCCTTATAATGGGATTGGCTGAAATTTCTATAGAAATGTCAGAGTAAAGAAGACCATAAGGTGGGTGCAAAATAGTTTGCTGGGTGAAGGGGAGTGAGCTAGACCTTACGGGGCATGTCAATGTCATAGGGCCTAAATACTAACCCCTCTGGTCAGATTTTTAAGAGCTAGAGAAAGGAGTTTAAATTTGAAGGAAGTAATCTCTGGATTGCTCCTAGTCCCAAGTGACGGTGTGAGTAGAAACAGGAAGATGGATAGGATCAATGTGTGGCTTCTAATATGGCTCAGGAAGGGAAGCTTCGGATTCTTTGGGCTTCAGGACCAGCTCAAGGTCATGGTATCTATTTAAAAAGGATGGGTTGTCGCTCATTATGACTGGGACTGAAGTTCCTGTGTGGAGGTTCACAAGTGAGGCCAAGTCGTGTTCAAACTAAATCACCATGAGATTGTATATTGTATATAAAAACAGAAAAGATGAATAAGATGTCTAAAGTGAGATTTGGATAAAACTTCAGAAGAAAGAAGTACGACCATACCCAATAAGAACAGACTAAGACGGACTGAGAGGAAACAAATGCAGTTTTAAAATTTATGCATATAAATGCACAGTTTAGTGAATAAGATTGGTAAACTGCAACACAAAAAGCCTTGTGGGAATGTAAAATGATAGCAACAACAGAAATGTAGCTTTAACATAGTGAGAACTGGTGCTTATTATTCAATGGTACAAAGCATGCAGAAGGATACAAAAGGGGAAAAACAGAGAATGATATTGTATAGGAAAGAGAGAATGTCCTTGATAAATGCATGTACGTGAATAAAACAAATTTATCAAGGACATAATCTATTTGGTTAAAATTGAGAAATAAGAAAGGCATTATCATGCTGCAGGATGATTCTATAACTTCCAAATAATGTGAGGGGGGAAGGAAATAGAAAAGCAGATCTTCAAGGAAATCACAGACATGCAAGGACTTTAGAATAATGATGTTGAGCAATATCAATTGCCTGAATGTTGATTTGGATAACATTGGAGTGAACGGTAAAAAGAGAGGAAGAAATGCTGAAATATGTTCAGGAGAATTTCTTTGAGCAGGTTCTTTATTCAACCAAAAAGGCAGCTTTGCATGATCTGTGTAGGGGAAGGAAAGACTTTGTGAACAAATTGTCGGTGTAGAACACCTGGGTAAGAAAGTGATCATAGTATCAGAAAACTTGCGTGATAATGGAGAAAAGCATGGAACAAATTCAAGTAGAACTTCTAAATTCTAAATTGGGAGAAAATAACAGAACAGGAGGTCTGTAATAGGACAAAAATCAGATGAGTTTAAATGATAAAGGAACGATTGGGCAAGGCAAAAAAGAGTGGTGATGTGACAAGGAAATAAGCAAAAAAGAGGCCCGAATGTAGTAGCAACAATAATTGTTATTAATGGTTGCTGTCTGAAACATTTAAGAACAGTGGTTGTGATCTGAACTAGTTGAACTTCATGTTAGGTGAAAGATGAGATGTGTTTCTTTGAGCTTCAGTTGATCTTCATTCGGAAAATGGAGGCAGAAGTCTCCATTGTGAGTGATGCGAGTCATTAAAATACTGATAACAACTGGCTGGGCTGAATAGACTGTTTTCATTATGTAACACCTGCATTTGTTTACAGTATTTATTTTGTCAATTCATAACATGAGCTAATCAATGGGGAGCGGTTCATTTTATTAAAACTTTGGCTTTCTGGAGAAAATATGTTAGAGGAATACTTTACATCTGTCAAAATATATTTTGTTGCAACTGAAGCTAAGGCATTATCTCCTTTTAAATAGTGCACTTAAGAATAAATCTTTATTCCTTTTTCCTGAATGCTATTTAACTAAAATATCAAACTTCAAGCAGGGTTTTAATTTTTTTTTATTGAAAGCATGAAACAATTTTTGCCTGAGTTGTTTTATTCACTTGTATGCATTTGTAAAGGAAGAAAAGCAAAAGAATTAAAGTAAAGTACTGATTGTAATACTTTCACAATCACCTGCGTTTGGTATACAAGTGTAAAATCTGTAGGGATGGTAGTAATTCTTATTTTCATTATGAAATAATCCCAATGAGACAAGTTTTTGCTTTTGTATGTCACATGATTGTGCTTTTCTAATTGTTTGAACTATTTTCCTCAAGTGGTGTTAGGCTTAGCTTTTCTTTTGAACAAACAAGATTTTTTTTGAATGCATTTTAAAAATCTACATATTCACAACATGTATGAATATGCATTTTGATTTCGTTTGCAATTAATAAAACAATGCTTCGTTTTCACTTTTAGAAAAAACCTGTGAGAAGGCGATATGAACCATACGGGATGTACTCTGATGATGATGCAAACAGTGATGCATCTAGCGCTTGTTCAGAGCGGTCATATGGCTCCAGAAATGGAGGCATTCCACACTACCTGCGCCAAACAGAGGATGTGGCTGAGGTCTTAAACCACTGTGCTAGTTCAAATTGGTCTGAGAGAAAAGAAGGACTTGTCGGCCTTCAAAATCTTTTGAAAAGTCAGAGAACATTAAGGTGAGGTCCTGTAAAACCATGTTGCAGGATCTTTTCAACTCTACTTCTCAAACTATTCAGTTATTCTGATGGCTTGCTGTCGAATCCAATCACTTTAATAAATTAATTCCTTTTATTTTGGCAGTATCAATATGTATCTGGAAGTTGAGGTAACGTAGCAAGTTAAAACTGATTGAAATTTGTGGTTTTCCAGTCAGCAGTCTTAATGTTCGCCTTCACTAATTTAAAAGGTGTTGGTATTCTTAATTGAATCAGAAAATGTAGGTGCAGGTGTTTGAATCCATCAATGTGAAGTTTTAGAACTGAATTGTTAAGTAAAATTAGATCAATTGAGTTGTACATCATCAAAAACTTCTTCATCTTTAAGTTTTGAAATATAAATTAGGCAATTGTAATTTTACTCTTAAGCGTACAAAATTTCCTAAAATACATTATACATGTGTACCTTCATGCACTAAATGCTGATGAAGATCATATAAAATGGCAACCAAGAATTAAAATTATCCTGTTCCAATATGTTAAAGCGTTTTAATAACGGGCACAAATTTATTTTTCCATTGCCATAATTTGCATCTTTAGGAAGAAAGCAAATTACCAAGCATCGACTTGGCCTAATGTGACAATACTGTGCTTTTAATCAATACATTTTGCATTCACTTATAGCCGAGTTGAACTGAAGCGGTTATGTGAGATCTTCACTCGGATGTTTGCAGATCCTCATAGCAAGGTAACTTATAGTAGAATGGAGTTTAAGAAAGCCACTTCCTGCATGTACATGTAAACAGCTATGTTTGGTGTGAATGCATGCAGCGTTTTTCAAGTATTTGTTTACATTGGACCATATGTGGAAGATTGTGTCTCAAAACTGCAGTGTTTTTAGTTCCTTGATTAAAGCAATGCAGGGTATTTGGACCTATATAAGAGTTAGTCATCAGAAAAGATAAAATTTTTAAAAGATTGCTTGTGTTATATAAAAACAACTTGCATATTTTCTAATAAGGATTTGATTTTTAAAAATTTTTTAGCCAGTAATCCCTATACAATTGTAACCTACCACTTCTACTGCAGCAGTAGAAAAGAACTTTTAAATTTTAAAATATAACTTCCTGAAATGGTTTCGTGTAAACCCAAGTCCAAATGACAACTGCTTAATGAATGTTGGTGAAGTAAACAATTGTTTAATTGTTCTTAAAAGTTAAATTATAAGAAATTATTAAAAAGGTATACTGTAATTTCTACTTTGGCTTGTAGAGAGCACGGGTGTTTGTCTGTAATTTGTTTGTAATTTGCCTAGCTTTATCCGAAAGCCTGTGTATTATGAAGTGATTACTGAACATCAATAACCATTACAAAGCACTGTTGCTTTTAAACCTACTGCATTAATCACTGGTTTGTTTTCTTGCATGTCCTGTCCTTTGTTGGAACTCACAACAGAGAGTAAGTGTTGCTTTTACTGTTTATCACAAACTAACAAATAATGAGGCCATTGAAAAGTGCCTTCCTATTGCTGAGGGAAAGTTTGTTTCAAACTTTAGTGAAAAATAATAAATCTCAATTGCTGGAAATAACTGCTGCAAGTTTAAGATGTGGTGACTTTTATATTTAAGGAGAAATACAAATACCTTGTTTTAACCACTAGAACTGTGTCACAAGATATTACAATAAAAGTTTTTGTTAAAATAAAGTGTGCAAAAGAATGAAGTAAATTGAGCACTGTTAACTTAATCTAGTTTACAGTAATGTTTGGTATAGAGTCAGGTTTGCTTCATTCCACTGAGAATTCTCATAAAACTCAAAATCTAGTTATTTATTTCTGAAGGGACTACCCATAGCATGCCACTGTCCTTTGGAAACTTATCTTTAATCCCTCTTAGTTCCATCCCTTCTTGGAGGTAAAACTCGAAATCACCAAGTCTAGATTGTAGGTGTCTCAACCCTTTTACTCTGGTTACTTATCTAATACTTCCACATTATTACAGCTAATTACTTCCTATTGCAAAAGGACAATGTGTTTTCCCCTGTAAATTCTTCTACCAGCTTCAAATCAAGCATCTTTTCAATAAGATTCAAGCTGTGATTAGGCTGTGCCCATCTCAGCACATGCTCAATATTGAAGTCAGTGTTTTTCCTCTCCACCTACAGTGCATGTCTAGCTGTCATTTTACTTGCACTGTGTTTTCTTAGTGTGATGCACATACATAAGGTTTAAGTTGAAACTAGCCTTTACAGCAGACACCCAGACAGGTTGAAAGGAGAAGCCCTTCTCAAATGCCACCCATCATCCATGATGATATAGCCTGCTGTGGACTTTGTTCAAACTGACCTTTTCAGTTCATTATCCCTCATTTACTATTTCTTTGATGTGATGAGGTAACTGGATTTAACACCCTTTGGAAGTTTTCAGGGTATGTTAAACGTTTTTAAACAAAATAAATTCTACCTGCAAAACAAAAACATCTCTGTGGACTGCACCTCTTTGCAAGCATTGCAGGCATCATGTCTCTAATTTTTCAGCTAGCTAGGCCTATCTGCTATTTTACAGCTCTGTCTCTGACCCTTTTTAACATATAACTGCGAAGTTAGATTCTAAAGCATGTGAACTATGAGCTAGTTATTTGCAACTGCAGGATGCATGTCTTCTGCCATTAAATTTTAGTTCACTGAAAATGCTGAAGGCTATTTTTCAGAATGTTACAAGTGGGATTTAGGAAGTATTGCGTGTTTTTTTTGTGGAATTGGCTTTTAAGTGCAAAATTATACTGCGTCAGTTTTGAAATAGTTTGAGCTCAGCTATAGAAACTGTACAATTTGAAGTCTTATTGCTGTTTAATTTCACCAGGTGAGAGCAACATAAGTTATATTACTAACTTTTTGGAAGCCTCGATTTTATTTTTAAACAAACTGATTCTTTACAAATCTGGAAGCTTAAGTAATTTCAAAGGAGAAGATCTATGCTTATATCAGGGTAGTGGTGGTGTGGTGTTGATGTTATTGGATTCGTAATTCAGAGCCCCAAGCTAATGTTCTTGGGACCTGAGTTTGAACCCCTCTGCAGCTGAGAGTGTAATTTGAAATCAGTAAAAAGCTACCTTAATGATGACTATGTAACCACCCGTAAATTGTTGTAATAATTGATCTCGTTTACTATTGTAATTCAGGAAAGGAAATCTGCCAGCCTTACCTGGTCTGGCCTGCATGTGACTCCAGATTGACAGCAATGCAGTTGACTCTTAGCTGCCCTCTGGACATTTACGAGTGGGCTATAAATGCTGGCCTAGCCAGCAAGATTCCCTTCCAGTGGACAAATTGTTTTTAAAAATGCTGTCCCATCTCCTTAAATAGCATTTTAATGGTGTGAACTGCCACTATACTACATGACATTAAAGTTTTTATTTAAAATTCATGTGGCTAAGGAATAATGTAATAAAAATTAAAGAACAGTTTTTCAATTGAATAGCCAGTCATCTGTCTAGGTAAACTTTGTACCAATGGATATTGTTATTTCTTTACTTCATCCACCTCCAATCACAAATTAATTGTGTAAAAGAAAAGAGAATGGTATTTGCAAGATTGTTTCTACAGATTACTTGTTTATTTGCAGTATTGAGCTATTTTCTTGATGGGTGGTATTCCATTCTTGGTAACCACCAACAGAAATTATAAATACGTGTTCCTTTTTTCAGGTATTCAGCATGTTTTTGGAAACTTTAGTCGATTTTATCATCATCCACAAGGAGGACCTCCAGGATTGGCTGTTTGTGCTCCTGACTCAGCTTCTAAAGAAGATGGGGGCTGATTTATTAGGTTCTGTACAGGCCAAGGTTCAGAAGGCACTGGATGTCACCAGGTAAGACCAGGGACAAGCAGTTTCCTGTAATATATACTCAGTAGTATACTTTTTGTATGTAATATTTTGTTGATATACTCTCTCATAATGGAGTTTGACTAGGTAGTGATCCGAACTGGAACAATTGAAGTCTTTGACCTGTCAAGCCTGCTCCACATTCATTTAGATCTTCTACCTCAACTCCATTTTTTCACACTTACCTAATATCCATAAATTCCTTTGTCATTCAAAAACATCTCAGTCTCAATCTTGAATGTACTCCATGACTGAGCATTCATAGCTTTCTAGATGGAAAAATGCAAAGGTTCACTATGCTTTGATTGAAGTAATTTCTGCCATTGTCACATTCCTTCCTGATCTTTGAGGCAGTCTGCTTCTCTTAAATGTTTAATAACAATGTATTCATTGAGCAAATATCCTGGCTGAGCGTCTCCACTAATTGTAGGTGTCAACAGATGGCTAATATCCAAAGGTGAATTGTAGTTGTAATGTAGTCTGGTGCTATCTGAGATGGGTCAACTGCACTCCTTGTGCCGAGGGTGCACTATCAAAGTAAAATAATCTTTAGATTATTTTGAATGTTTTTAGTCAAATATTTATTTATTCGTTCATTTATTTTGTCTGACAAATAAATGTGTTAGACAAATGTATCCTGTGCATTCAAATTTCGATCATTTGTGTATAATCAAGAGCAACAATGGCCCGAGCATTGAAATAAAGCAATGCAGTTATCTGTTCTGAAACAAATTCCTGGAAAAGCTCAGCAACTGTGAAGAGAAATCACAGTTAATGTTCGGGTCCAGTGACCCTTCCTCAGTACAACATCCACACTTCTTTCGGTTTTTATTAAGTTATCTGTTCTGTCCTGGGCACAGCATATGTTTCATTTTAAAAAAGGAAGTAGACAAAAAGCACGTAACTATAGGCCAGTTAGCTTAACTTCAGTAGTGGGGAAAATGCTTGAATCTATCATTTAAGGAAGTAATAGCAAGACATCTGGATACAAATTGTCCCATTGGGAACACCCAGCATGGGTTCATGAAAGGTAGGTCATGTTTAGCTAATTTGGTGGAATTCTTTGAGGACATTACTTGCATGGTGGACAGTGGGGAACCTGTGGATGTAGTGTATCTGGATTTCCTGAAGGCATTTGACAAGCTGCCACACCAAAGGCTGCTACATAAGATAAAGTTGCACGGTATTACAAGTAATGTATTGGCATGGATAGAGGATTGGTTGACCAGTAGAAAGCAAAGAGTCAAGGTAAATGGGTGTTTTTCTGATTGGCAGTCAGTGGCTAGTGGTGTGCCTCGGGGATCAGTGTTGGGACCTCAATTGTTTACAATTTACACAGATGATTTGGAGTTGGGGACTAAGTGTGGTGTGTCAAAATTTGCCGATGACACTAAGAGGAGTGGTAGAGCGAAGTGTGCAGAAGACACAAAGTCTACAGAGGGATATAGATGGTCTAAGTGAGTGGACAAAGGTCTGGCAGATGGAGTACAATGTTGATAAGTGTGAGGTCACCCATTTTGGTAGGAATAACAGCAAAATGGACTATGTTTTAAATAGTAAAAAAAATTGCAGCACACTGCTGTGCAGAGGGACTTGGGTGTCCTTGTGCATGAATCGCTGAAGGTGGGATTGCAGGTGCAGCAGGTAATTAAAAAGGCAAATGGAAATTTGTCTGCCATTGCTCGAGGGATGGAGTTTAAAAACAGAGAGGCTATGCTGCAGCTGTATAGTGTCCTGGTGAGGCCACACCTGGAGTACTGTGTGCAGTTTTGGTCTCCTTACTTGAGAAGGGATATACTAGCACTGGAGGGGATGCAGAGGAGATTCACTCCGTTGATTCCAGAGTTGAGAGGGTTGGATTATGAGGAGACACTGAGTAGACTGGGATTATACGCATTGGAATTCAGAAGAATGAGGGGAGATCTTATAGAAACATATAAGATTATGAAGGGCATAGATAAGGTGGAGGCAGGGAGGTTGTTTCCACTAACAGGTAAAACTAGGACTAGAGGGCATCACCTCAAAATAAAGGGAAGCAGATGTAGGACTGAGGTCAGGAGGAACTTCTTCATCCAAAGGGTTGTGAATCTGTGGAATTCCCTGCCCAGTGAAGCGGTTGAAGCTACCTCGCTGAATGTTTTTAAAGCAAGGCTAGATAAATTTTTGAACAGTAAAGGAATTTAGGGTAATGGTGTGCGGGCGGGTAAGTGGAGCTGAGTCTCAGAGATCAGCCGTGATCTTATTGAATGGCAGGGCAGACTCGAGGGGCCAGATGGCCTACTCCTGCTCCTAGTTCTTATGTTCTTATTATATCCCTTAAATAATATTACTACTAATAGACATCTAGTCATTATCGAATTGTTATTTTTGGGAACTTGTTCACTATGAAAGCAACTTCTTGCTATGAAGCCTCACCGAAGAAACAAAACTGGACGGACTCATGTTATTGACTTGGGCACTCGAAAAGACAGAAACAAAAACAGCTCTATCGACTCTGCAAAGACCTTTTTTCTAACATTTGGGGGCTAGTGCCAAAATTGGGAGATGTTTCTTATAGACTAGTCAAGCAACAGCCTAACGTAGTCACATTCACGGAATCATACCTTACAATCTCCCAGATGCACTGTTACCATTCCCGGATATGTCCTGTGCCATCGTCAGTACAGGCCCAGTAGAAGCAGCAGCACAGTGATATGCTGTCGGAGGGAAGTCGGAGGGAATTGCCCTGGGAGTCCTCAACATTGACGCTTAATCCCATGAAATCACGTGGGCAAGGAAATCTCTTGCTGATTACCATGTACCATCCTCCCTTGGCTGATGAATCAGTACACCTCAATATTGGACAAAGCTTAGAGGAAACAGCTGAGAGTAGCAAGGGCGCAACATGTACTCTGAGTGGGGTATTTCAACGTCCACCACCAAGACTGGCTCGGCAGCAGCAGTATTGATCAAGCTGGTTTGGTCCTGAATGGATAGCTGCCGGATGTGTCTACAGCAAGTGGTGAGGGAACCAACAAGAGGGAAAAACACAGTTGACTTCATCCTTACTAATTTCCTGGCTGCAGATGCATCTGTCTACGACAGTATCGGTAGGACTGTCCACCGCACAGTCCTACCTTCACATTAAGAATACACTCCATGATGTTGTGTGGGACTATCAGCATGTTAAATGGGACAGACTCAAACAGATCTAGCAACCCAACTGAGCACCCATGAGGTGCTGTGGGCCATCAATAGCAGCAGAATTGTATTCCAGCACAATCTGCAATCTCACGGCCAAGCATATCTCCCACTCAACCATCACCGTCAAGCCAGGGGATCAACTCTGGTTCAATGGCGAGTGTGGGAGGGCATGCAGGAGCAGCATCAGACATACCTAAAAATGAGTTGTTAACCTGGTGAAGTGACAAAATAGGACTGCTTGCATGTCAACAGCAAGTAATGGACAGAGCAAAGTGCTCCCACAGCCAACTGATTAGATCTAAGATCTGCAGTCCTGCCACATTCCAGTCGTGAATGGTGGTGGACAATTAAACAACTCTCTAGCAGAGGAAGCTCCACAAATATCCCCATCCTCAGTGATGGAAGTGTCCAGTGCATTGGTGCAAATGCTAAGACTGAAACATTTGCAGCAATCTTCAGCTAAGTGGCTGATCTATCTTGGCCTTCTCCAGTGGTCCCCAGCATCACAGATAACAGTCTACAGCCAACTCCACTAACTTCACATTTCAAGAAATAGTTGGAGACACTCAACATTGCAAAGGCTAAGAGACCTGACAACATTTCCAGCAAGAAGACTGAAGACTTGTGCTCTGGAACTTGCTGCACTCCTAGCAAAGCTCTTTCAGTACAGTTAAAACACTAGTATCTACCTGACAGTGTGGAAAATTGCCCAAGAATGTCCTGTACACAAAAAGCAGGAAATATCCAACTCAGCAAATTACCATCCCATCATTCAAGAGATGGAAGGTATTCCTTAGTGTTCCTTCACTGTCACTGACTCCAAATCCTAAATCCCTCCTTAATGGCACTGTGGGTCAAGCTACAGCATGTGGACTGCAGTGGTTCAAGAGTCAGCTCACTATCGCATTCTCAAGGGCAACTAGGGATGGGTAATGCTGGCCCAGCCAGTGATGCCCACAATTGCCTTTTTTTTAGAAAGGCAAAGTAGATGCTGTACTGTGTTCCAACAAAGACTGAGGGCAGGGTTTTCCCTTTCGATGTGGGAATTGAGTTAGAGGATTTCATATCATCCTGATCCTGCCCCCAGTTTGACAGCGGCCGGTCCTGCTTTTTCAGCCTCCTGAGGCAAGCAAGTTAGAAGGCTTGCTTCTGTCTGCTGGACGATTGTTCCAGTTCTGTAAAGGAACATTAGGCACTGTACTACTTGTCCTCACCCCAAAAGTGGATGTGCGGTGAGAGGGAAAAAGCAAAATGAGAGGGTTTTTGAATTGGAAAACGAGTGATTAAGTGCCAAAAGGGATGAGAGTGAAAGGCAAAACAATGGTAAAAGTTGTGTTTCAGCGTATTTTTGATTTGTTGATATTTTAAATTTTATGTAGGAGTGTTTTCATATATAAATGCTAACCAGTCACACAATATAAAATTGTGAATTCAGAAATTCTAATGCCTTTTCTTTGCTTGCAGAGAGTCCTTCCCATTTGACCAGCAATTCAATATTCTTATGCGTTTTATTGTGGATCAAACACAAACGCCTAACCTCAAGGTTGGTTTAAAAACATCCAGTGCTTCGCTAGATAAATACTGGAAAATGCCTTGAACTAGTGAATTAATTTGAAGCCATACTTGAAAGAATGGCTATATGCTAGGAGCAACTAAAACTTTTGAACTAACTCAAAAGAAAAGATTCAGAAGATCCAATTCAGATTTATACATTATACTGCATTGCGTTTTAGTTCCTACTTAATATACAGTTGCAGCATTTCTTTGATATCTGCTAAATTCCTTCATAGAATCCCCACTGTGTGGAACCAGGCCATTTGGGCCATTGAGTCCACACCAACCCTTTGAAGAGGGTTCCACCCAGACCCACCCTAACCCTATAACCCTGCATTTCCCATGGCTAATCCACCTAGCCTGCACTTCCCTGGACGTTATGGGAAATTTGGTATGGCCAATCCATTTAATGTAATTTAACCTGCATGTTTTGAACTGTGGGAGGAAACTGGAGTACCCGGATGACACCCGTGCTGGCAAAGGGAGAATATGCAAACAGTTGCCTGAAGCTGGAATCAAACCTGAGTTCCTAGCACAGTGAGGCAGCAGTGCTAACCACTGAGCCACATTTGGCAGAAAGTAACAGATATTTGGATGGCCAGTCTTTTAAATTAGAAAAGAAAACTGCTGTCTTGATTTTCTTCTTCTTTGTGATGTAAAATATTCTCCATTCAATTTGTATCCTTGTGCCAGCTTCTTTCTCTCGATATTTGTGGAGGTCTGGGAGCAGATGTCCGACACCCTCTAAGTTGAGAAACGTACAGCTTGCAGAGGAGAATTAATAATAATTAATGTACTTTTATAATATTTACAGTTCAATGCAGAATAAATTATATACTGTTGGAGTGTAATATGTGGAGTGAAGAATTAAAAATTCCATCTTCCTTGATTTTGTTTATCTATTCCATCTAATCAATTGCGTTTCATACTTGCTTGAGATTTTGTTTATTTTTGTTGAATTGAAAGGTTAAAGTTGCAATCTTGAAGTACATTGAGAGGCTAGCAAGGCAGATGGACCCAGCCGATTTTGTTAATTCCAGTGAGACCCGTCTTGCTGTTTCCCGAATCATAACCTGGACAACTGAACCAAAGAGCTCTGATGTGAGAAAGGTGAGTAGTTTAAGATAGCTTAGAAAGTTTTGATGAGATCAAGTATAGTGGGGTGAATGACCTCCTTCTGTGCTGTGATTCTATGAATTAAACTTGCAGTTAGTTTCCCCACTCTCAATTCCCATTGTTATTGAAAGGCTATGTGCCTCAACCTCATGACAATGGCATAATACACTACAAAGTATTTTTCTTTTTAACATCACCTTACTGTTTTAATTGTACTATTCTGTCTCTCAAAGATTATCCAGATACAGACTGGCCAGAGCCTAATAATTAAATGTAAAACATTATCGTTAAACCATTAAAAAGTACATTTGTTATAAAATGAAGCCATAGTTATTTTAATTGATTTGACCTTTTAGTTACTCAGAAGCCAGGTTTCTCGGTAGGAGTTCCTTATTAATTACATACTTGAGCTTTGTACACTGGTTGGTGCAGTTGGTTACTCCGGAATGTGATGTGAAATGTCTTCAGTTATCATTCAACCCTAAAGATTATTTTGGAAAATAATTAATATGTGCTTTGTGAAAAGAAAAGGATTACTTATTTGCTTTGCTGTAATTTTGAATATATTTTCTCCTCTTGAGGCCTTCTCTGTTCCTTCCCGCTGTAGAATGCATATAATGTGGGGTTTACCAGCAAATTAACTGAAGTTCTTTGTAGAAAATGGCAGACCGCAATGCTGATCAAATGTGGGATATGATGTGTTTAGATTTCAGCAAGGGTTTAAATACGATATTAGATGAGCAATTAATCTTCAAGGTAAGAAGGCATGTAATGAAAAAGAAGCTCCCAAGGTAAATTATTAAAGAAGGTAAAGGATGATGATAAATGGAACTGAGTTGAAATGGCAAGGTCCCTGTCGAGCTGTCGTGGATCAGGTATAGGACTGTGTCTGATTACAGTTCATATAAATGATATGAAGCTGGGCCGGAAAGGAAGCGCTTTCATTTTGCAGGTGAAAACAAATTAAGGTGAGGGTAGGGGGAAAGAGATGAATTAAATAAATTGGGAAAGTGGACAGAAGTCTGAAAACTTGCATGATTATAAGACCGAGGATGGGGAATAAATGTCAGAATAAATAAATGTTCATGGCTGCAGGATACAAAACTATAGGGATCTGGAAGCATTGTTGAACAGCACAGCGAAACAAACACCACAGTCCGGAACGACAGTAAACAAAACAAATGAATAGAACATAAATTTCAGGTCTTGTAATGAGCTTGTACAATAATTGATATCCACACCAGTGGATTACTGTGTAATATTCTGGTCACGATACTACTTCAAGGATATGCCGTCTTGGAACAAATGTCAAAGAGGAAAACCAAGTTGATAACTTAGCGGAATTGATGTACAAAGAGAGGTTGAAGAGTTTAGGATTGTCTCTTGTGTTGAAGAAACCGCTTGGACGTGTGATTTTTGAACTACATAACAACCATAGGATAAAAGATTTTCAGCATCAATTTTTCTGTCCTCAAACCAGGCACTGCAGGCTCAAATGTGGAAGGAGGGGAGGTTAGCTTAGATTCAGCTAACTTAAACAAAGAATGGTCATTGCATGGAATGGACTGCCCAGAATGGCAAATATTGTTAACATTAAAAGATAAAATATTTGTGCTACTGGACAGTTAAGACGTTAATTTTTGAATGCATCATTTGGCTTCACACATTTTTCTGGCCCTCTGACGACCTCTGTGCTTATTTGGTAGGGAGAAGTGTCACCTTATTTTCCTCAGCTTGTTTTCAAACCAACAACTCTGATATGCTTGGTGGGTGCTACTTAAAATGACTTTGTTGTTAAGTTGAGTAATGGTTTGTGTTGAGCTAATAATTGAGATGACATTCAATGAATGCTTTGAATAAGGTGCCTGCAGAAGACTTGCTAATGAAATTGCAACACAGTGTCAATTGGAGTGTGGAAAGTTGGTTAAAGGACAGAAAATAGTGCTTAATGGATGTATTTTGTATCCGAGGGAAGGGCAGAGTGGTGTTCATTCCAGTTTGGTGTTTAAACAAGTGCTATTAAATGTTTGTATACCACCCACAAGTTTGGTTAATTGAAAATGACTTTTAAGTGATTTTGAGTGTATGTAGACAAGTTAGTAGCTTGATCAGATCATACCAGCTGAAATGTTAATGTGTCTTAGGAAAAGAAAAGGAAGTTGCATTAAAAAATAGAATAAATAGAGCAGAGAGTCTTAGGAGTTCGGGTGCGAGGAGTAAATAAGCAGTAATTATGAAATATATTTGTAGAATAAGAGGTAAATTTGGTGAAGCTGTAGAATTTTGTGGATCTTGAAACTTTGCCCATGCAAGGCAGAAGCAAAGACTTAAGTTGTTAGCTCAGTTTGGTATTGCTGAACAAAGACATTTTACAAAAGCTTTTCATCTCGCTTCACTCACTTTATTTTTAACAATTGTTTGCTGTTGCTGATCTGAGTGTATTGAGCCCAGTCTTCATTTTGCTGTCTAAAATTTGCAACAAACTAGAGCTTCTTGCTTTGCTGTGTTCAGTTTTACCTTGGAATGGGTGTCAGAGCTATGCCATATTGTGTATAACCAATAAATTTTCAAAATTTTAAGGTAAAAGCTTAAACTTCCTAATTAAAACAATTTGTTATAGCAAAGAAGATTAAGAGGTAACCAATAAATAGAGGGATAAATTTAAGATCATGAAAAGAACAAATTAATAAGTGGGAGTTTTTTATACAGATGGTTGTTGAGACACGGCGTTTGTGCCAATAGGTAGGAATCAAATGCAGAATGCTACATTTTTTTAAAAAAAATGTAATTCCTTCTTCAAAAGAATATGTGAGCATGTAGAAACTTGGGCCTGAAGCATTGAGTCCTGAATGACTGATTACCTCTGAAATTGTACTTCCCTTCTTTAGTGATATCTAGGAAGGGCAAGTCCAGGAAAATTGTAGCTTGTCTGCAGATGCATGAGGGTCGTTAGTTTATACCCCATTTGCAGTAAGGAGCTTTTAAGCATTTGTACAAATGAGAGGATCTTCATATAGTCGTCATGTACTGAAAGGGTGACACTTCGCTTTAGTTATAAGATTTCCACTAAAATAAAAAAAGAGCATTGTTTAGTAAGAGATTTTACATGTATTCCATACAAGATTCATTCATCCGACATGATCGAACAAACTAATAAAAACAATATACTGTGGATGCTGGAAATTGGAAGCAAGCATAGAGAATGCTGGAGAAACTGAGGTCTGGCTGCATCTGTGGAGAGAGAGAGAGATATGACTTCTCCTCAGGACTGGCTCTGAAGAAGAGTCATACTAGACTCAAAATGTTAACTGTGTTTCTGTAGATTGATCGTACAGTTTAAGCTTTTTCAACTGTGCCTACTTGCTGGAGGAACATTAGCCTGGATTTTCCACTAGCCAGACAGTCATTATGCCAGCATAGATGGCCTTGTATAACCTTGCTTACTATGATCTGCCTGTATTGCTCATAAACAAAGCTTTTCACTGTACTTAGGTACATGTGACAACAAATCAATCAAATCAAATCAAAGATGGGAATTGTGCATGGGGATTCCTGTGGAATTCCTGTTGTGTCACATTCCAAAGGCATTGCCTGGGAAATTGAATTTTCTGGTGTGCAATTTCTCTACATCTGGAACCTTCTGAAATTCTTAAATATATTGCCTAACTCCTGAGTAACTATTAAACTGACCCTATCCTTACCTAACTAGTCCCAACTATACCTCCTCCTACCCCCCCGACCCTTATTTGACCCAACCCAACTCTGACCCTCAATGTCCCTCACAAAAACCCAACCTGGCCACCCTTGCCACTGAGTTAGATCTGAGCCATTCTCCCCTCCTGCTGAACTTAACCTGACACCCACACTGACACTGGACCTGTTCATTTGGTATCCTATCCCTGGCATTCTAATAACTTGACACCCTATTCCCCATACCCATCTAGCACCCTGCCCTTCCAGCACCCTAACCTCAAACTCGCCTCATGTACTTAATAGTTTCACACTAGCTCTCAGTGGCTGCTGAGGCCTTTAAATTTCAGAATATAGCAGCTGACTGCTGTGGAAAGGAGAGTGTAAGTTGCCTTTCTCTGACACTTTTGTACTGTCAAAGAACTGTCAGTGGAAAAGGACTCTGCACCTCTGAGGGTGCCCTGAGTGGACTGTCCTCTCAAAAGTGCAGAGCGCCCTTCTTCCATTTAAAAAAAAAGGGCTAGAGAAATCCGACCTATTAAATCCTGTGAAACCACACTGAAGGGTAGCTCCTGCTTCTTACCAAAAAAGGCTGAACTATATTCTGACTTTCCTGACATAAATTGCTTAATTATTTTTCCAAAACAGCACCTACTATGTCATTTCTTCTGAGACACTACAAGTAAATTAAGCACCATCCTGGTGAAGCTGCTTGCTTGGGTCTGCTTGCAATAGACTGGGTTAAGTGATCTCTGATCTGATGGATTAGATCTATGCTCTACAGACCTGCAACATCTAGCCATTAATCATGGCAGACAATTAAACAACCAACAGGAGACTGAGGCTTCCCAAGTATTCTTGCCCACTATGATGGGGAAGCCCAGCACATCAGTGCAAAAGGAAAGTCTGAAGTATATGCATCAATCTTTAGCAAGAAATACTGAATGGGTAATCTCTGTCAGCCGTCTCCCACAGTCGCTAGCAGCATAGGTGCCAGTCTTTCGTCAATTTGATGCGCTTCACATGAAATAAAGAAATGGCTTAAAGCACAGGACCACTGCAAAATGTGAAGGCCTTTGTCAACATTCTAGCATAATACTGAGGACTTGTGCTTCAGATCTTGGTGTGCACCGAGCCATGCTATTTCAGTACTGGTGAAACACTGGTATGCACTTGACAATGTGGAAAATTTCACAGGTGTATTCTGTCCTCAAAAATATGACGACTCCAACCTAGCCAAATATTGCCCTAGCGGTCTACTGATCATCAGCAAATTGTTGGAAGGGGAGCTTGACAGTACTATCAAGTGGTATATCCTCAGCAGTAACTTGGTCATTGATGCTTATTTGTGTTTCACAAGGGACACTCGCTGCTGTCATCAATATGTAAAATGCTGAACTCAAAAGATGAGGGTGACTGTGTTTGACAATGTACCATCAAGGAGCTCTTGCAAAACTAGGTCAGTGAGAATTGGAGTGGAAACCCTGCTGGTTGGAATCATACTTGGCACAAAGGAAGATGCTTGTGGTGGTTGGAGATAAATGTGTCACAAGATGTATCTGCATGGTAGTGTCCTTGCCCAGTGATCGTGAACTGCTTCATCATTGACTGCTCCTCCATCATGAGGTCTGAATATTTGCTGATGTTTGTAAAGTGTTCAGCATCATTTGCAACACCTCAAACTGAAGCAGCTCCTGTCCATATACAGCAAGACCTAGTCATCATCTAGGTAGGGCATAATAAGTGGCAGGTAACATTTGCGCCACATGGGTGACAGGCATTGACTGACTCCAGTGGGGAGAAGCTAACAGTGCTGCTCGATATTCGGAGGCATTGCTAGCACTGAATTCTTCACTATCAATATCCTGGTGTTAACATTCCCCAAAAACTGAACTTGACTAGCCATATAAATACTGTGGCTACACAGCAGATCAGAAGGTAGGATTTCTGCGATGAATAATTCATTCCCAGGCTCTCAAATACCTGTCCACCATCTACAACCACAAATCAGGTGTGTGGTGGAATACTCTTCGCTTGACTGGACGGGTACAGCTTCAGCAACATTTTAAATAAGACTCAACCATCCAGGATGAAACAGCCAACTTAATTAACTCACCATCCATTTCTTCCAACAGACACTCCCTTCATCATTAACTCACCAAGGTTTCTTTGACAGCACTTTCCAAACCCATGACCTCAAGGAGGATGAGGACAGTAAACTTATGAGGCCACCACAATCTACAAGTTGCTGTTCCTTTGTTGATTTTTTTTTTTGGTCAAAATCCTGGAACAACTCCTCTGTCTTGACCCACTGCCTGGCGTTACGCCAAGGAAAATCTGACCACCCTGTAAATTATCAGATGAAAATCTAAATATCATAAAACCTGTAATAAATGAATTTTGGGCTTGTCAATCATTTTCGATGTCCAAAGTTATGAATTTCATGATAGAATATCCCTGTTTGTTAATGCCATAGGAGATGCATCTGTTTTGCAAGCATTGCTCTTTGAAGTGAAATACTTGTATTTTGGTGATAGTGATTAAGTTTCATAAGAGTATGTACATGCCAAATAATACTGTTCATTTTAAAGACCTTTAAGTATTTGTATCACATGGGTGCTATAATTTAAAAGAGAAATGTTAGACTTTGTGGTGATTTTAATGGTTTACAGGTGCATGCTGTGAGAATCAATTTGGTGTTTACGCTGCTTTCTGCAGTTGACTTTACTATTGTATTTACAGACATTCCTTGACACTTGAATATCATGACCTTGTTGAACTGTACCTTTTCCTGTAACTCACTTTTCACATTTCGTATTTGCCACTTTACTATTGGCAAGTTGTACTTGTATGGTTTCTTTCACGCAAATAATATTGCGAGGCCCTTCACAAATAAGGAAAGATAGAAAAACTTTTTTTAAAAAAATCTGCACCATGGAGATAAAGGTGAAAGGAATGATCAAGTGGTTTGGTCAAGCAGGTGGCAGTTACAGACGTCATTTTGAAAAGGAGACGGTGAAAGTTTTGGAAAGGGAGTTTCAGATTCAAAGTTTATGCTAATGGAACTTTTTTTTATAAAACGCATAATTATGAAAATAGCATGAAGTCATGTACAAAAAGGCAAGGAATTAAATTTAATGGCCCAAGTTTTTGCAGTCCACATAAGGACTTTGTCTTGCTGTTCATTTGCTGACAAGTGCCCGTAAAAGTTGGCTTTAGAGTGTGACCTTGCTGTATTTTCTGTCTGTTTGCCTGGCTCCATCTATAGGGATTCTGTAGCTTCTGTGAGCAGGGCGTGAAAAGTTGACACTCTTTGATCAATTGCAACAAAAAAATGAGCCGTACTAAATTTTGACCCAAGAACAACCAGAAGGTTTGTGCTGGATGAGAGAGGTTAAAGTTTCAAAGCTCTTTTGCTGTTCCTTCAATATCACTGGATCAAAATCCTGGAAATTCCTCCCTAACAGCACTGAGGACACCTACAACAAATGGCCTACAGCAGTTCATGAAGGCAGCCCACCGCCCCTTTCTTGCAGGCAGCTAGGGTTGGGCAATATATTCAACAAATGTGCAACTTCACTAAATTTAACTAATTCAGTAAATGTAAATCAAACAATTTTATTTATATTGTGTACTTATTGCAGAATAAATGTGGATTTGTTTCGCAAAAATTCAGGACTTGCAAAATATTTGAGATAGGAACGTTAGTCATATATGTGCAGAAGTCTGTTATTCTGTTTATTTGGGATCAAATTTGAACTCCTGTTTCCCAAAATTGCTACTGTACATTTCAATTAAGAGCAGCTAATTGGACAATAAGCTCTTTTGAGTGAGAAGAAAAGACTTCCTGTCTTTTTATTAAATGAGAATTGTTTATAATTCCACAGATTAACCCAATGCAAGACCATAACATTTGCTAAAGTCAAGCATGTAGTGCAGTGCTTCTGAGGCAGGAACGCTAGAACTCACATCTCATGCTATAGTTGGTTTGGATTTATGCTTTGTACTACACCTTCTCCCTGTTCCATTCTGCATAAATACAAAGAACTGTGTTTGAATTTTAGATGTTGTCTAATTCATAGAATGATGCAGCACAGAAGGATTTGAACTGTCATGTCTGAGTTGTTCATATTATTCAAAATGGATGAGCCAACTTTTAAGTCTTTTGTCACCATCCACTTGATTATTTTCTTGAATTGTATGATTCCATAATTTGCATTGAACATTCTAAAATATTTTATAATAGTTTATAATAATATTGCAAGGCTCTTCACAAAAGAGGAAAGATAGAAAAGCTTAAAAAATACACACCAAGAAGATGAAGATAAAGGGAAATGATCTAACGGTTTAGTCAAGCAATTGGCAATTACGAACTTCTGTTTTAATGTTTTTTAAATTCGTTATAGAGTCAACAAGTATCATTTGCTTTATTATATTCTGGGTTTATTTGCCTGTAACATAACTGTTTGTTCATTTTATATGTGGGACTGAAGCTTTACTAAATAATCATTCTGAGAAGAGCATTTCAAAAATGCAGCATTTTAAATACTGAATGATCTCAACCATGTCTGGGTGTTACTACTGAGTCATAAAATATGTTTGTAATAGTTTTTCATGCTCACATTAGGCTGTTCTACACTGATGAGCAAAAGATTGTGGCATTGTTTTGTCTTTTGAAATGCAACAGGAACTTCATTTTGGGGGAGAAAAATTAAACACAACTTAATGTAGGCAAAAAGGGAGCAAATTGGCAGCTCCCAAAAGTGACAGCTTAAATAATTTAAATATCAGCATCTCTCCGATGCAAACACGACTAGTCACTTTTTCTGTTGTGCTTGTCAGCTCTATATAATTTTGTTAATCATGCAACTGCTGTTTATTGTATACTGCAATTTTTCTAATACCTTCCCACCTGTCAAACCCAGACTGTGCATAGTTGGTTGAGTGATGAGGTGTTGGCCAGGTCCTGTTCGAGTACCTCTGGGCCTGGTGAAATTGGCCTGGAAGAAAAGTGTAAACAGGTAGAAAAATGTTGCACCTACTAATCTCAAGTTGCTTTTCCCCTGTATCATTAGCTATTTTTTTTTTAACTTGGCTGCACAAGGGTCTTGGCCTGACTGACTTCTGTTTCTGTGTAACAACCATGTGTTCACTCTCCTCTATTGCCAAAAGCAGTTGACTTCTGATAACTGTACAGCACATAGGTGGTGGTCTCTGGGAATAAAGTTTGCCTTTTCTTTGCAGTCTTAATAAGTAAAGTAGAGCATTGGCCCTGAAATTGAGAATTGCTGCCTGTGATGTTGGAATGCATGCTCATCTGTTAACTAATGGATCTGCAACTGCATTAACATGTTCTTTTAATACGTGTTTATTTAGAACTTGAAAATTTATTTTGTAACCTTTTGTGCAAATTGGATTTGTACTAGCAAGCTTGCAGTAAAATTAATTGTTAAATTTTATCTCCAATGTATGAAAGAGAAAACAAGTAGCGTTTTGTGGATAATATGAATGTAATACATCTTGTGTGTTACCCACCTTGTTTGGAAGCACCACTTTGTCTATTTATCTGATAGAATATTAGCTTTTTATTCCAGCACATTGCTAGCAGATTTATACATTTACCGTATATATTATCCAGTAATTTGAAACCTGTTCCTATCCCATTTCATGAGTTAAAGGTTAAAAGTTATTGCTATCTTGAATGAAGATTCATTCAGCATTTGATGAAGTACCACATAATAAACCTATTAACAAATTGTAAGGCATTAGATTAAAGGAGAATTGGCTAAGTGGATATGAATTAGATTAGGAGCAGACAGTGGAACATATTGATCTTTATAAATTACTTGGATGAGGATTTGGAAGGGTAAGTTAGTAAGTTTGCCAATGACACGAAGGTTGGTGGAGTTGTGGATAGTGCGGAGGGCTGTTGTGGGTTGCAACGGGACATTGGCAGAATGCAAAGCTGGGCAAAGGAGTGGCAGATGGAATGCAACCCAGAAAAGTATGAAGTGATTCATTTTGGAAGGTAGAATTTGAATGCAGAATACAGGGTTAATAGCAGGATTCTTGGCAGTGAGGAGAAACAGAGGGATATTGGGGTCCACCTCTGTAGATCCCTCAAAGTTGCCACCCAAGTTGATAGGGTTGTTAAGAAGGAGTATGGTGTGTTGGTTTTCATTGGCAGGGGAATTGAGTTTAAGAGCCACGAGGTTATGCTGCAGCTTTATAAAACTCTGGTTAGACCACACTTGGGATATGAGAATATATTGTGTTCAGTTCTGGTTGCCTCATTATAGAAAGGTTGTGGAAGTTTTAGAGAGGGTGCAGAGGAGATTTACCAGGATGCTGCCTGGACTGGAGGGCAGGTCTTATGAGGAAAGGTTGAGGGAGCTAGGGCTTTTTTCATTGGAGCAAAGAAGGATGAGAGGTGACTTGCCAGAGGTGTACAAGATGATGAGAGGCATAGATACAGTGGATAGCCAGAGAGTTTTTCCCAGGGCGGAAATAATTTTAAGGTGATTGGAGGAAGGTCTAGGGGAGATGTCACAGGTAGGTTTTTTACACAGAGTGGTGGGCGCGTGGAATGCACTGCCAGCGGTGGCAGTAGAGTCAGATACTTTAGGGACATTTAAGCGACTCTTGGATAGGCACATGGATGATAGTAAAATGAAGGGTATGCAGGTTAGTTTTTGATCTTCGAGTGGGATAATAGGTCAGCACAACGTTGTGGGCCAAAGGGCCTGTACTTTGCTGTACTGTTCTATGTTCAGTGTTCTATGATCAGTTGTTTTCAGGTGGATGGAAGTGTGCAATGGTGTCCCCAGTGGCAGATGTTGTAACCACTGCTCTTTTCTTTAAAATTATGCCCTAAATCCTGGTTATTAATGAATAATACCAAAACTTAGGGATGATACAAAATAGGGATGATACTAAACTTTAGGAGGGTAGACCGGCTAATTAAATGAACAAAAACAGAAGTTGCGGGAAAAGCTCAGCAGGTCTGGCAGCGTCTGTAAAGAGAAATCAGAGTTAACATTTCGGATCTGGTGACCTTCCTTAGAACACCATTAAATGAACAGTTGGATGTGGCTAATGGTGTTTAACACAACGAAATCTGAGATGATTCATTTTCATGGGAAAAATTAAGTAAGTCGGAACTAATGGTATAATTTTAAATGGGGTGTAGGAACAAATCATTCGAAGATAAGGCAAAACAAGAAGGCTATATAAAAATCCATATAGGGTCCTTGGATTCATTAATATGGCATAAAAGCAAGTTCTGTTGAATCTTAATGAAACACTGATTGTAAGAAGGATATGGAAACATCGAAGAGAGTTTAGAAGAGAATTACTCCGTTGATACCAGGTATTTAAATTTTTCAGTTACTTAGAGAAACTGAGGCAACTGAGCTTGTTCTGCTTAAAGCAGAATTGGGAGATTTGATTGAGGTGATCTACATCTTGTCTGGTCTGAATTAGAATAAATAAAATGGACTTGCTTCCAATGCAGTACAGTCGGAAGTGGAAAATAATTATGCAGTGAATTATGATCAGGGATGGACAGACTGAAAATGTGCAGATTTTAATTTTACATAGAATAGCTTAAATGCTTAAAAGAAAAAATTGCAAGACTATGGTGAAGGAGCACAATGGGCTAATTAGATACGTTCCAACGAGTGAGCACAGACATGATGGGCTAAGTGACCTCGTTTTCTGTTTCAATTCTATGTAGAATGTACTGCCAGGTTTAATCACGCACCTAAACTGAAAACACCAAGTGAAAGTTATAGACAGGTGTTTCCTTTGAAATACTGGCAATGTGCAGTTCATTTGTTTCACAGTTTTTATCATTGCCTGCCCTCTCCAACACCATGCACCCCTTTTTCAAAAAAAACACACTCAAGAAAATACCAATCATTGACAGTTTAGTTGCAAACATAAAGTATAAATAGTATGTTGTTTACCAGGGTTATTGCCTGATCGAAGGGTGACTGTTGCTCTGCTGGGAATTTGTTTTAAATGTTAATAGCTTGGAAAATTCTTTCTTTGTATCAAGTGTATGACTGTCTGTATGCAAGTTGATTTCAGTAATGCTATTTGAGTGGTGGGATGATCGTGGTGCAGTGATAATATCAGCAGCGACTAATCCTGAGGCCTAGGTTAATGCACAGAGGGCATGGGTTTAAATTCTACTTTGGTAACTGATGTACGTTAAATTTAAAAAATTCTGGTTGCCACATTACAGGGAGGATGTGGAGGCTTTGGAAATGATGCAGAAGAGGTTTTCCAGAATGCTGCCCTCGTTCATGGGTCATGAACTATAAGGAGAGGCTAGAAAAACTAGGGTTGTTTTCTTTGCAGCAGTGGAGACTGAGGGGAGACTTGCTAGAACTCTATAAAATTATGAGATGCATAGATAGGGTTGATGGTCAGAATCTTTTTCCCAGAATTAAAATATCTAATACTAGAGGGCATGCATTTAAGGTGAGAGGGGGAAAGCTCAAAGCTCTGTGGGGACAAGTTTTTTTTTGCATCAAGATTGATAGGTGTCTGGAACAGGCTGCCAGGGCTGGTGGTGGAGACAGATATGATAGGGGTGTTTAAGAGACTTTTAGATAAGCATATGAATATGCAAGGGATGAAGGGATATGGACCAAGGGCAGGCAGAAGGGCTTTGGGGATTAGTTTAATTTTTGTCATGTTCGGCACAACATCATGGGCTGAAGGGTCTGTTCCTGTGCTGTACTGTTCTATGTTCTGTGTGCACAATGCAAATGTACGTGAGTACTGAACTTGGTGAGTGCCTTTTAAAAGAAATGCTATTGGGAAAATGGCAGTCTTGCAGTCGGCTGCACAGACTTTTAATGAAAAGCCAATGACCTTCAAATAGCGTAGGAAATGTTAGTTATAGTGTATTCAAGGTTTCCATTTAGTGATTGGTTTCTTAAGGGCTGTTTGCTCTTGGGTTAATGGGAGTACCCGAATTTTTAATGAGTGACTTTTGGTTTTGCTTTGTTTGTAATCGCTTTCTTTTTGTTTTCTACAGGCTGCGCAGGTTGTGCTGATTTCCCTGTTTGAGCTGAACACTCCTGAGTTCACTATGTTACTTGGTGCCTTGCCAAAAACATTCCAAGATGGTGCCACCAAGCTCCTTCACAATCACTTGAAGAACTCTAGCAACACTAGTGTGGTACTTGGCTCCTGCCACTTTTTTTGGTGCAATATTTCAATGACAGTGGAAAGCTAATGTGCATTAATGAAAATAACAACATAGGCTTGTATAGTAGTAACGCCACTGTCTTAGCAAATATGAAGTTGAGAGTTAAAATCCCAATAATGCAAGTTGAATTCAGTAAATCTGAACTTGTGGGCTAATGCAAGAAATCTGCTATATTGTTGCAAAAACCAATATAGTTCACTAACGTCCTGTAGAAAAGAGTACCCAACCAGGCCTACATATGACACCAATCCTATTCTACGTGGTTGAACCCTTCAATAGGAATCCTTTTTGGACACTCAGGGCTGGGTAATAAATACAGCCTGCCTGTGTCCATACAACCAAGAGCTTTTTTTAAAGAATGGAGCACTTAAAATTAACTTTCAGTAAATGCCTTCATACTTGTGAATTATGATGCTTATTTATTTTGGAATAGAGCCCAACATGCAGTAGCACATTAAGAACTTGAAGGGAGAAAGAAATTTGAAATTGTAAACCCTTTTTAAATGTCGTCATCTCTCATATTTAGATATATTTAAGGTATATGTACCAGTAATCTGTGCACTGTTTTTCTTCTAATCACATTGTGCACAATAGAAGTAAGAGTGAACTTTAAGCCACAGCTGCATAAGTTAGACTCTACCTGATACAGTGCACAGTTCTGTGCATCACGTGTTAGGAAAGATGTATTGGTCTTGGAGGTAGTGCAACATAGATTTGCTGGAGTGATAAATACCTGAACTCCAATGGCTCAGTTATAAAGAGTGATAAGAGTGATCAAACTTAATTGAGTTAAGATAGTAAATAGTTATTAAGTGGGACCGATGGAGTAGAATGTTTGGGAAATTTAAGACCGAGGGCAAAGGAAAATAAAATGCCAGTGAATATGAGGGTTCTTGTGGCACAGCGGTACCTTTCAGCCATGATGCCTAGGTTCAAGTCCCAACTGCTCCAGAGGGTGTCATAATGTTTCTGAACAGGTTGATTAGAAATTTTTTTTCAAAAGACCACTGGGGATATAGCTAGGCCTGTGAGGAGTGAATTTGGCAAATATTTCTATACTCTAACCGTGGTAGAAGTTGTGAACTCTCTTGAGCCAATAGCTGTTTTGGTTATTAGTTTTAAGTTTGTAATTGCTAGATAATAGGGGATATTGGCTAAGGAGTCAGAATTAGGTTATCAATCAACCATAACCTGTCTGAGTGTTGAAACAGGTTGAGGGGCTAAGTGGCCAACTGCTGCTTTTATGTCGTGAAGGCTGCATTTCTGGAATCAGATCATTTCATGATCATCTTCTGAAGCCAATCTTCAACTTAGTGCCTGACACACATCTGAATTTCCTGTCCCACGTTGTGTAGTTCAGATATTTTAACCTGAAGACTTGTGATTGTGTATGTGTAACTCAGTAGTTGCCCATGTTCTCTTTAGTGGAAGTATATAATGATGCATATTTCATTATCTTTTCTATTCTTGCTACAGAGTTCACCCAGCAACACAATGGGACGCACACCTTCACGACACTCCAGCAGCCGAACAAGCCCTCTTACATCTCCAACAAATTGTTCACATGGTGGTCTTTCCCCAAGGTAATGATAAATTTTAATTTTAATTATTCATATCACATTTGTGATGTATTTTTAGCTCCTAGGTAAAATATGTTATCAAAATAATAATTTAAATCCCATTAGTTTCCTGGTGATTCCCTGTCCTCGTAATCTTCAAAATAAGAATCATAAATGCTTTGATCAAACATATTTCTTTTCTGCATTTCATTTGATTCCATTGTTGCTCTCTCACCTTGAATTTTGAACAGTAAATAATGTGATTTCCTTCAACAATTTATAAGATCTGGCCTGAGATGTCAACTTTTATAACAGTAAGTTTGTATCCAAGTCCTGACATTTCTTTACTTCCCAGTTCCTACTCTCACAATGTGGAACATGTGTCCAGTAGTCATATATAAAAAATCTATGCAAACTTATACCTTCACCTGGTTCAGTTGAAATATTTTATAATACACGATCCTATGATGTTAGAGCATTGCTGTACCTGAAGTAATTTCTGCAGTAAATAATGTAAATTACACTCCTTTTAATCCAATAATTGTTGTTTAAAAATGAACAAATTTTAGCAATGAGAAGAATTGAGACTACTCGACAAACATTACTTGCACTGGAAAGGAACCGTTTTCCTATAGTCAGTGTGGTTGCTTTGAATAGTGTTTGTGGAGCTGTGTTTCCAGGAACTTTTCAAACCAAAAATCCTGAAAAATCATAAAGCAAATGCATATGCCAGAATTATACAGTGTATATCTTTCATTTCTCTTAATCAAACCTTTTCCCTTTGTAACTCATCGTGTGCATGAAACTTTTCACTACCACTCCATCATCATGCCATTTTCAACTGCTCTCCAAAAAATAACATTTTTAAATCCATGTTTTATTGTTCCAGCATGAGCTTTTTAAAGATTTGTATTATATGTTTGTTTCTGGGAAGACATAAACAGATATGCTGATACATATTGTTGTCTTGATGTTATTAACATTAGTACTTCTGGCTTATTTCATGTTTTAAAAGAATGGTTCTTAGATAAATTAGCATTATTGACTTTTGGTTGCAATGTAATACTGCTAGTTTGAGGAACCTGTGCGTTAATAGAAACTCAATAACAAAATGGAACACTTCATCTGGAAATAAGTAGTATTGGTCACGGGGAAAAAAAGTACTGTAGGTCACAGAAATATGTTTGTGTTGATCCTGTGTAAATAGTAGCAAACAAATGGAAAGAGCATGTGCGGGTAACTGTTGCGGTTTACATTCATGGCGAAAGCAGTATCTTCTTTTTTGATATTGCGAGTGTGTGTTTTTTTGCACTTAAAAGGGATTTACTTAAGTTGGTAAATTTGTCTTCTTTTGAGTACATAAAAGTCAGGCAGTTTACAATGGTACATATGCATTAGAATTTGTACAATAAAAGCACTTGATCACATTTTTCTGAAGTGTTTTCAAGCTCTTCACCACATCTAATGTCTAGTACTAGATAGTTGATCCTAGTAAATGCAGGCAGGGAAGTGGGGGGAGGTAGGGGCAAACTTAGTATGGGATTAGATGAGACCTAAGGCATTTGAAACCTGGATATAGTACAGCTTGGGAAACCACCCAGTAAAGTAATGGAGGACCAAAACCTGAAGGTGATAATGGTGTGAACAAGGCTTTCACAACCAGTGATGGTGAAGTAAAGGTGAAAGTTAATGACTGTGATAATGAGTTGGTTGTGAGATATGAAACTTTGTTCACGATTGAATGATTCTTGGCAAGAAGTCAGTAGAAAAGAGAAATTGGCAGGTTCACTAACAGTGCCAACCCAAATTAATATGCAGATTTACACTTATGATTATTCATAGAATGTAACTTGAGAGCGATTCTCAAGCTTGAACTTGGAGTTTCTTGCGCATGAGCATGTAATTATTTTGATACTGTAAGTGTATATTAGCCAAAGGGTTATAAGTTCAACATCTGTTCCAGCTGAATTTAATGAAGTTTTTTTTAAAAATAGAGATGGTAGTATTGGACTTGATTTGAACTCCAGTCAGGCAGTTCAAGGAAGAATGAATCGCTTGTATGTTATGGACATATTACAAGTACAGCTGCAAATGTTAAAAGGAACAAGTTTAAATACAGGAAGCCTTCTTAAGACATGGTCATGTCATGGCCCAATTTTCTAAAAGTAATTGGATAAGTGAAAAATGCTCAGTTCAGGATTTTATTATGGCTGAATTTTTTTATGCGAATTTTGCCGTACTAGCAGCCTATTTGTTTATATTTCATTTGCTGTGAATTTGTCTAGATTTTACATTTAACTAGCTTATTGTAGTCATCTGCATTTATTTCTGCCCATGAGATCTAGAACTATGTTTATTTCTGTTGCCATACAGATCCATGAGACTTGAATAGATGAGTACCCACCAAGTGGGCATCATTTTATTCTAAATGAGTGGATTGAAGAGGGCACTAACTTGGACTTTGACACTTTGAAATAGTGCAACTAAATTTGTTAATTTTTCAAGGTTGAGCACTTGTGCCATCTTTTTGTGATAGACCAACAGTGGACACGTTGCAATAAATGCTGATATTTGTAGTGGTTGGTATTAAAACAAATGTGCTGAAGGCATTATATAATTAGGGCAGTGATTTGTGATCCTTGAAATTGCTTTGTGTACTGAAGTCAAATGGACCTGGCAGAACTTAAATAGTTCACTGAATATTTTAATAATGGACTGAGATTTGAAATGGCATAAATCAAGATACAATAACTTACATGTGCCAACATACAAGTTCAGAGCATAAATAGGACCTTGGCCCCTTGAGAATGCTCAGCCATTCAGTGATATCATGACTGATGTGTCTGTAACCTTACCCACTGCCAACAACCTTTTACCCCTTGGACACCAAGATTCTATCGGACTGTTTCCACTGCCTTTTACAAAAGGGAGCTCCAAGATCAAAAATCCTCTGGGAGGAAACAAATGCCTCAATGGGTGACTCTTTATTTTTATATAGTTACCCCCTAGGGCTGTATTTCCCCACAAGAGGAAACATCCTCTTGGTATCCATCTTTTCAAGCCCTCTCAGTATCTTGAATGTTTCAATCAAGTTGTCCCTCTCTCTTCAAACTCTTAACAGAAATATGCCTAGCTTGTCCAACCTTTCTTCATACAACAGCCTACGCAGTCCTCTTATTGATTGAGTAAATCACATCTGCACTGCTTCCATCTGCTTTCCCTTCCTGAAATAAGGAATCTGAACACAGTACACCAGATATAGCCTCCCAATGCTTCGTACAACTGAGGCATAATCTCCCTACCACCCTGTTCAATCCTTCCAAGAAGTATCATTTTATTAGTTTTTCTAATTACATGCTGCACCTGCATGCTAAACAGATTATTAAACAGAGTCAAAATGTCAAAGCTTATCATTTTGTTTTCATCAATCTACAAGAAACAGACCTGAAAAGAGGGACACCAATTTATACAGCTTGGGAAAAGGATGCTGGTTGGTTGGGCCTTCATTGTCATGGAGATGCAGCGAGAACGGATATGATCTGTCCGTTATTCAGATGAACAAATGAAAAAGTACATCACAGGAACAGGCCCTTTGGCCCTCCAAGCCTGTGCCAACCATCATGCCCTAAATAATCTAAAAACAAACCTGCCATTTTTCGATCCTTGCCTCTTTATTCCCTCCCTAGTCATGTACCCATCTAGGTGCCTCTTAAATGTCTTCAATGTGCCCACTTCCACCACCTCTTCTGGTAGTGCATTCCAGGCTGCTACCATTCTCTATATGAAAAATATTCTATTCTATGAAAAACATCCTTGCACATCTCCCTTAAAGTTTCCCCCTCTGAACTTGAACCTGTGCCCCCTTGAAACTTCAACCCTGGGGGAAAGCCTCTGACTATCCACCCTGTCTATGTCTTTCATAATTTTCAGGACCTCTATCAGGTCTCCTCTCAGCCGCCATCTTTCCAGTGAAAACAATCCTAGTCTTTTTAACCTTTCCTCCTAGCCAGTGCCCTGGAGACCAGGCAACATCCTGGTGAACCTTCTGTACTCTCTGCAAAGCTTCCACATCCTTCTGGTAGTGTGGTGACCTAAACTGCACACAATACTCCAAATGCGGCCTAACAAGGGTTGTCTGTAGCTGCAACATGTTTTGCCAATTGTTGGACTCCGCACCCCGGATGATGAAGGCAAGCATGCCATATGCCGCCTTAATCACCTTGGCTACTTGTGTTGGCACTTTCAGTTAACTGTGGACCTGCACCCAATTCCATCTGAATGTTAGTGTTCCTAAGGGTTCTGCCATTTACAATATAATTCACACCTAAATTTGATCTTCCAAAATGCATTACCTCGCATTTATCTGGATGAAACTCCATCTGCCATTTCTGTGCCCAAGTCGCCAATCTATCTATATCCTGTTGTATCCTTTCACAATCATTGGCACTATCGGCAACTCCACCAATCTTCGTGTCCTCAGCAAAGTTATCAGACCACCCAAATTTTCCTCCAGATCATATATATACTACAAACAACAAAGTACCGAAGACTGACCCCCGTGGAACACCACTAGTTACTGGTCTCCATTCTTGAAAATCATCCTTTCACCACTACTGTCTGTCTTCTATGACCAAGCCAGTTTTCTATCCATCTAGCCAGGCCACCCCAAATCCCTTGTGATTTTAGATTTTGTACCAATCTGCCATGTAGGATTTTATCAAATGCCTTACTAAAGTCCATATAAACTACATCCACAGCCCTTCCCTCATTAATTATCTTCTTTACCTCTTCAAAAAATTCAATCAGGTTTTTGAGACATGACCTTCCCTGGACAAAACCATCCTGCCTGTCACTATCTAGTCCATTTTCCTCCAAATGTGTATATATCGTGTCCCTCAGTATCTTCTCCAAGAGCTTCCCCGTCACAGACGTCAAGCTCACTGGTCTAGAGTTTCCCAAATTATCCCTGCATCCTTTCTTAAATAAGGAAAACAGCATTTGCTAATCTCCAGTCCTCTGGAACT